AAGTCTCAAATCCAAAGAGATATTCTTTATAAAAGTTAAGAGTCAGCCACACCTACCTAAAACGGCTCGTTCTAACACGCCTCCACATACCTACGTCACTGTGTGGGAAGATTTGCATAACGCCGCCCAAATGTTCACGCAAAGAAAGGAGTAACTTCTATTCTTGCTGTAGTATTGTTGTTGCCGTCGCCGCCATGTCGTGAAGGTGCTGTGTTTCGTTGTGAAAGCGAAACTACTTTGTTTGGCCTTCCAAAAGAGGATGATATCTGCTTCGTCATGCCTAGAGCTGATCCGTGCTGGTCGCTGAGGAAATACAACAACTTTGCGCTGTGGATCGCCGGATCGGCTTTCACCGTGGACGAAGCGGAGTCCAGCCCGGGGTCGTCACATGTGGTTGCCGCAAGCCCTCCGGACGCTCCTTCGTCGAATCCGCCGCCTCTGCTCACTCTAGCCCTCCGGGCATTCCTCACTCTAGCCCCCCGCCTCTGCTCACTCTAGGCCGCCGTGTGTGACGCTGTGTTTTGTTGTGAAAGTGAAACTACTTTGTTTGGCCTTCCAAAAGAGGACACGACTAGAAATCAGTGGTTAAGTTGTATTTACAAAGCTGGCCAATCACAGCACACCTTGCTTTTCAGACCGACCAAAATCGACGTGTTTCAGAAAGGCGGGGCATAGAGGAGAAACAATAATGTACAGTATGTGGAAAATAATGTGTTTTTTTAACCTTAAACCGCATAAACACATTTCATTACACCAAATACACAAAATAATGTTCTTTTTAGCAACATCATATAACCCCTTTAAAATATAACTTACTCCTGTGATGGAAACGCTGATTCATTCTAATATGCTGGTTTGGTGCTTAAAGGTAGGGTAGGCGATTCCGGAAAGGCTAGCGATAGCAAGTTAGGTTTGAAAGCAAGATCCCCACTCTCCCTGCAAAAACAATTTGCAAAGCCACGCCTCCTCCAAACCACACGAACGCGTTCAGGCATCAGCAGTGTTGCTAAGTCTGCGTTTTTTTTCCGTGGAATTGGTCTACTTTAAATGGATAGTTCACCCAAAAATGAAAATTCTGTCATTAATTACTCACCTTCATGTTGTTCCAAACCCGTAAGACCTTCGTTCATCTTCGGAGCACAAATTAAGATATGTTTGATAAAATCCGAGAGCTCTCTGACCCTCCCATAGACAGCAATGTAATTACCACGATCAAGGCCCAGAAACATAGCAAGGAGATCTGTAAAATAAACCATGTGACATCAGGGGTTCAACCGTAATTTACGAAGCTACGAGAATACTTTTTGTGCGCAAAAGAAAAAAACAAAAAACGACTTTATTCAACAATTAGTCTCCTCCACGTCACCCTGTAGCGCCATTTTGGAGAATATCCACTGAACGTAAACAGCATATGCTGTTTTCGTTCAAATCAAAGCGTAAACGACGTAAACAGCATATCCGTGTGGCACAGCTGACACAAAACAGCATATGCTGTTTACGTTCAGTGGATATTCTCCAAAATGGCACTACAGGGTGACGCGGAGGAGACTGTTGAATAAAGTCTTTTTTTGTTTTTTTCTTTTGCGCACAATAAGTATTCTCGTAGCTTCGTAAATTACAGTTGAACCCCTGATGTCACATGGTTTATTTTACAGATCTCCTTGCTACATTTCTGGACCTTGATCGTGGTAGTAACCTATGCAGGGTCAGACAGCTCTCAGATTCCATCAAAAATATCTTAATTTGTGTTCCGAAGATGAACGAAGGTCTTACGGGTTTAGAATGACATGAGGGTAAGTAAATAATTACAGAATTTTCATTTTTGGGTGAACTATCCCTTTAACGCGGTTGCCGCGGGTTGTTTTTCATGTCCGCAGGTTGAAGCGACCCCAATAACGTGATATTTAGCCCCTGGAATGCGAATTTTACTAGGGTAACCCTGCCAAAAAACATGTATTTTATGTGTATTTTACCCCCCGCAACGCGATTGGGCTAGTTTTGAGTAGCAATTGGGCAGGTTTTGTTGTGAAAACCTGGCAACCCTGGGCATCAGGCTATCGTAATGTTCAGACCGACCATTTTGATTGGACGAACATTTTATGGTCTTATGCCTTCCACAGATGATATAAATACATTTAGACCACTTAACTTATTGGGATGTAAAAAGACTTTCAACCAGCATAACAATGTTTTGAACCAAATCACCTTACCCTGCCTTTAAGAAATTTCTTATTACGTTGAAAAGGGTTTTTGCTGCATAATATTTTTGTGGAAATTGTGATGCACAAGGTAAAAAAAATAAAATAACTTTTTTACATCAGTGCCACATTAAATTGATCAAAGGTGACATTAACAACATTTATAATATTACAAAAAATGTCTATTTCAAATTAATGCTTTCACTGAACTTTCTATTCATCAAAGAATCCTGGAAAAAATATACCAGTTTTTACAAAGCAGCAAAACCATTTTCAAAATTGATTATAATACCATTAATAATAATTGAGCAGCAATAATAATTAATAATTGAGTAGCAGATCAACATATTAGAATGATTTCTGTAGGATCATGTGACACTGAAGACTGGAGTAATGATGCTGAAAATTCAGCTTTCTGCATCACAGAAATAAATTACATTTTAATATATCTTCAAATAAGAAACACAACATCACAATATTACAGTTTTTACTATATTTTTGATCAAATAAATGCAGGTTTGGTGATCAAAACAACTGAAAAAAAATCGCAACTATTTCAGACTTTCGACCGGTAGTGTATAAATAAGACCTACATCCATTATAGTGACGGCAATATCCTTTATCTTGTGAGGTTCCACATAGGAGTTTTGGCAGTTCAGCGTGAGTCGAGAGGCCAGTTCACTCTGGTTCAGGCTTTCCAGCTGAAGCACAAACAGAGCGCGCTTTGTTGATAAATGAGCAAAGAGTGAGACAAATTACCTTCACACATCAGTATGAGATCTATTACTAACTACATCAATCCAGAAGAAGCACTAAATGTGGTTTGATTTATGTGCAGTTTTCACTTTTCACAAAACTATTTCAGTACAATGAAAGTTTGCATATTTACACATTTCATGTGCATATTAAATGTCCTTAAGGCAACAAACCGACTTCGAGAAATGCTCTGAATGTATGATTTTTAATCATTTTTTGGTGACATTTTACTAGAGGTAGGCCAAATATTGTAGCATTACATTAATTATATCATCAACACTGTAAACAGTCAGTAGTACAGTAGAAATACTCACTCTGTCAACCATAAAGTCAATTGCATCTGCCATTTTTGGGTCCACAGGTCCTTTGGCAAAGTTACCAAGCACAATCTTTTTGAGCATGAAAGCAGGCATCAACCAGAAACTAGAAAAGAAACATTATACATGAGACAAATGCACAATGATGGAGACGTTACCACTGTAAAAGTATCCGGTATAACCTGTTTGCTGTCCAAGTCTGGTTGAAGATCGATGTGTCGCTAAATGAGTTGCACAGGATCAGAGAATGAACTCTGGGAGATTTATGCGTGACTTCAGCAAATTTCTGAGCCAGGAATCCTCCCAGAGAGGCACCAAACAAATGCACCTGCGCAGACAGAGAACAAAAAACAGGTTGTGAAAGAGACCCATTTCTCGTCTTGTATATATAAAACAATCAATACACCGTACCTTGTCCAGTTGTAAGTGGTCTAAAAGCTTCCTAAATCCATCACAAAATTCCAACAGATCCCAATAGACAGGATACTGGAGCTGGATACGGCAATATCAAGTTACACATCATGGAATAAAAAAGAAAAAAAAGCAATAGTGTCAGAAGAGAAGCAAAGGGACATGTTAGTTATGCAAAATGCCATTTTTGAAATGGAAATCAACTGAATAAAGCTTTCAATTGTTAACAGATATCTATTCCAGCAGGACTATCTGTAGTTGATGTGAAAACATACAGAGATGACGCGGTAGCCCCATCCGGAGAGAGCCAGCACCTGCTGGAAGAAAACCTCTGCCGTGCCACTCACAGGCGGGAGGAAGATGATGGGGCACCTGATGCTTTTCGGCCCAGCATCATACAACGACCAGACTTTACTGTCATCATCATCCACGATTATCTACAGAAGATGCACAGGCAAGACGTCTCACAAATGCGCAACATCAGCCTCATAATATACATATATTATTCTAATTTACATTTATGGAAGTTCTATTTCATTTAATTTTAACTATACTTTTTTTTTTAAATGTTAGTTAACAATGTCAAATGACAATTATGCATTGTTTTCTACCACAAATGAACTTAGATAGATAGATAGATGGATAGATAGATCACACTTTATTTTAAGGTCCAATTCTAGCTATTAACAAACCATTAGCTACGACTTTTGCCTCAAACTCCTAATTTGCTGATTATTAATAGTTAATAAGGTAGTTGTTAAATTTAGGTATTGGGTAGGATATGGTCCTGCAGAATATAAGAATAAACAGCCTATATGTAAATAATATACAGCCAATATAATAAACAGCCAATATGCAAATAATAGGCATGCTAATAAGCAACTAGTTAATAGTGAAAATTGGTCCCTATATTAAATTGTTACCGATAGAAAGATAAATGAACTTACTCTTTTCAGAGGCACGGTGCTTCTGAACCAGTTATAGTCAGGAGATACTCTTATCTCCTCCATTGCTTAAATGCAAATGAAAGGTGAGGTTAAATACGTGTATGTTTCACAGAATAACTGACACGATCGACTCAAAGCTTGTAATTTAGATGCAAAGAAAAGGTACTGTGTCATTGATTTTATACCTCTTTCATGTACAGTATATCACCATAGAAAAACATGTGACTGGAGTACAAAATGATCTCGTGAGTAAATGCGACAGGCGAACGCACATACACAGTTCCTGCAGTGCAAATTATAAATCGACGGTTTCTCCGAAATAATCAATCAATAAAAAACGGACATAAAATTGTTTTAGATGCTCAAAAACACAACATCTGCCTCTACAAAACTGGCGTTTGTTTACGCTTCATAACATCATACATCAGGAGACTATTTCGAGCGATAGATGAGTAAATATTACCGTGCTGATTTGTGAAATAAATCACCTTTTATTGACTTTCATCCACAGATTTGAAAAACATTGGAGCCATTCGCTGAATCACATGACCACAACTTCCGCAGCCAACAAACGATTGATGGCACACGATCACATCAGCCAATCAGCACCCGCGAACGGGTGCCACGGGGCGCTTTTAAAGGAACAGTTCACCCAAAAAAACAAAACGAACAAAAAAAAAATTTGGGGGGTGTTTCAGTGTATTAGTAATATTTTAAAATGTTGTGTGTAATTAGATGTTATATATTTGATATAAAATATTAAATTAGTGCTGTCAAACGATTAATCGCATCCAAAATAAAAGTTATTGTTTACATTATATATGTATGTGTACTGTGTACATTTATTATGTATATATAAATACACACACATACAGTATATATTTTGAAAATATTTACGTTTATACATTTATATATTCATATTCTTATATTTTATATTATATATAAATATATTTAATATATAAAAATAACATATTTCTCTGAAATATATACATGCATGTGTGTGTAAATATATTTATATATACATAATAAATGTACATAGTACACACATATTATGTAAACAAAAACTTTTATTTTGGATGCGATTAATCGTTTGACAGCGCTATTTTAATATTTTATATCAAATATATAACATCTCATTACACACACAATTTTAAAATATTACTAATACACTGAAACGCTTATTTTGGATGCAATTAATCACGATTAAAGCTTTTATGGCTTTAATCGTTTGACAGCACTATATTAAATATTAGGTATGTCTGTCCACGTTTCCCTAAACTGAATGACTTTGTTTTATAATTAATAATTTATAATAATTATAATTTATGCATTTAGCAGACGCTTTTATCCAAAGCGACTTACAGTGCATTTAGGCTATACATTTTATTTATTTATTTATTTTTTCATTTTTATACATTTTTTGTTTTGCATCTTTAGTAATTTTGTTTAATGAAAATCATTCATATGGTTTTATTTACTTAGTTAGTTGAAACTGTACAGTTTCGTGACAGTGTGTAGTGATACAAGTGAGTAGTTGTACTGTAGTTGTGGTGATGGACATTTTGTTTCCGCTCACTGTAAAACACACTGTTTGTTCATTGTTAAAGACTGATTCACTGGCTTTAGTGATCTATTGATTAATTTGATTCACTACTAAATTAGTTCAGTGACGCAAGTGATTCATTGACTGAGCGATTCACTGACCCTAATGATTCTTTGAATCTTTGAAGATTCGGTCAGAATGATTCAGTGACTCAAAAGTGTCCTCAGTTGTTTACTCGTTTCAGTGTCTTGCCTGAGACAGCAGTGTGGGTTTAGTTCAGCTGCCTACAGCAGCTCCCAAAATAACGTATTTCGTTTATTAATGTGATTGATTATTATTTAATTCGCAGATTGAGGTTAAGTAATTTATTATTGTCGGGCCTGTATTGAATGGCTTTCAGTGCGTTAACGTTAGCTCTCAGCTAGCGCTAAGCTTCCAGCGCTTCTCAAATTCAACAGATTCAGTTCGTCAAAAACACAACAACACTCAAACATGTCGTGTACGTGTGCGTCAGCAGCGAGAAATCTCATAAATTCAGCTCATAAAGGTAAGAAGAAAGTTAATCTTTTGAAAAATATTGATGTTTGTTTGTTTCTTAGCCTAGTTAGTTGGCTAGCGCTGCTGCTAGTGCGCTAACAACAATATAGAAACAAACCATGATGTAACGTTACGATTATAAAAAAGAAATTACAAATCAGCTTTCATTTTGAAAAATGTATTTTTAAATGCTTCATAAAGAAACATTTTTAATAACACTGGACATTTGTCAACTACTTCTACTGCAGTACATATGCGCATTGTTTATATAATAAGATTATTTATTAAAATGACAACCTACGACTCTAATGAATTTATTTAGTTGTTTATTGAATGCCATTAGTTAGTTTGGCCTGGTGATTATTTAAAATTTATTTCACGATTCATAATATTAAAATTAAATGACTTGGTTTGTCAAGACGTATGTAACTTAGTCTGATTAGAAACATTATTTATCTTATGGTTTGGATTTGTGTTCCAGTAAAGTGTGATTTTTGTTGCCAATGTCCTGTAGAGGCTCTTCAAACAATATGACTTCATACCATTATTGTTATTGTTATTTTGAGTGATGTTTGTGTTGTTTATGACACAGGAATATCCGGCTCCAGAATCCAGTTACTGTCACTGAGCCGCCGGGGGACTCTTGAGGTTCGTCTGGGGCACCGCGTCCCCGTGAGGTCGTTCTCCGAGACGACTGTGTATTATGCTTCAAAAGATGGGATGAAAGATGGAGATGGTGGAAAGGTAAGATGACAAATAACTCCTTATTCTCTGACAACAAGGGTCTGAGAAAGATGTAATAACTTTGCCAGTGTAATTAATTCTCTTCCTGGAAATTGTTTTTTTTTTTTTACTTTGTTTTCCTTTAAAGAAATCAGTTGGTGAAGGAAGTGGTAAAAGAAGCAGCTCTAGTAATTCCGGCAAAGGAGGAAGTCAGCTGAGATGCCCCAAATGTGGAGATCCTTGCACACATGTAGAAACATTTGTTTGTGAGTACTTCATTTCATATAATATTTTAGTTGACACTAAGAAGAGTTTGAGTAAAGACCCAGAGTCTGCAGCGGAAGCGGTCAAGTTGGCTTTCCAGCAGAAACCCCCTCCGCCACCTAAAAAGGTAAATATTCTTTTAACTTTGAGATTTTAAAGCAGTGGAACGCCCAAGGTTAACTGGTGGTTCCCACCTTTGCGTGTAATGTCTCTGTTTTTGTTTTCTTGCAGATCTATGCTTATCTTGATAAGTATGTTGTGGGTCAGGATCATGCTAAGAAGGTTCTGTCGGTGGCCGTGTACAATCATTATAAACGCATCTACAACAACATGCCGGCAGGCTCCAGGCAGCAGCAGGTGGAGGTGGAGAAACAGGCCTCCCTCACTCCTCGAGGTTTGTACTGCAGAGCATGTGTATGTGTGTTGAATACACATAGAAGGTAGGAACAGGTGGTTTTCACTAAATGGTTCTTATGTAAGAGACTCATAGCCATTAGGAAATTAATCTGTTCCAGGATACAAATTATACTTGGTGTCCTCAGAAAGCCAGGTTTCACTCCATCAGTTGAAAGCACAAAATGGAGAAGTGACTCTTTGGTAAAACACACAGGTTTTTGTGCTTCGAAGATTAAAATGAAAATGAATCCAGCTTTTTAAAAAAAACATTAAAGGTTCATTGAAGTGTGCTATTCCTTTACATATCATATATATGAGAATGATATCATATCCCACTTTTAAAAGAATAATTCACACAAAAATGAAAATTTGCTGTAAATTAACAAGATGTAGATGAGGTTTTTTTTTTCTTCATCAGAACAGATTTGGAGAAATTTAGCATTTCATCATTTGCTCACCAGTGGATCCTCTGCAGTGAATGGATGCCGTCAGAATGAGAGTCCAAACAGTTGATAAAAACATCTAGTGGTTCAACGGATCACAAATCTCACGGTTCAGATCATATTATGGTTTTTGAGCCACGGATCGAGTCGTTTTTCAGATCAACAAGAAAAGAAAAAATATTTCAATGTAACTTTGATTTCCATTTAGTACTTAAATATAGTAATTATATAATAATAATAATAATTTAGTACAGAAATGTAATAATTAAGTGTAAAATAACACTGAATAGTGTTCACTTATAAATTAAATATAGATTAATCTTTGTCAAAGGTTTTTTGATGTTTGATGAGCTTTAATAACAGCAGCTGGTATTTATAGGCTGCTGTCCCTTTAAGACCTGGGGCCTCATGTATAAAACTTGTAAGTAGATTTCATACTAAAAGTGTACGTACGCACAAAAGCTAGATTTTGCGTACGCACAAAAGTTTTCAGATACACCAGAACCTGCACAAAAATCCCTTTATAAATTCCAGTCAGGGGAAGATTGTGCGTATGTGCATTTCCACCCCGTCTCCTCCCCGAAATAACAATATATGGGGCATACAACACCGAGTTTTACGATGCATAACCTCATCTGCATATAATTTCCATGCATATTCCCATCCACGCGACACCATGTTTAACACCGTCAAAGGTACAGGACGTTAAGGAATTATGAGATACGGACTATAAATGCCATTTGTGCCACATTCATTTTTATTGCCAAAATCATCCAGTATGTTTTAGAATAAATATATCAAAATATCCATAAAAACAAAACTGTTTAGTTCTCAGATAAATAGCCTATTTTAGAAGTTGACCTCAATCTTTTCCACTGGCCAAATAGTGTTTCAATTGTTTTAAACAATTCAAATAAAATTAAATTGATCAGTTTTTATGAAAAGGTGAACATCTTTTAGCTATTTTTAGTGGAAACAGATAAGCCTATATTGCAGTGTAAATACAGTTGTCTGATTCGGCGCGTCACTGACGAAGTATTTTAAAAAGGAAACGCAAATCTTACCGTTTTTTTTCAAGCTGTATCCTTCAAATAGGCCTACAGTGGTATTTTTCGTAATGTTGTGGAGATGCCTTCACACGACATCAACACCTCCGTGCAGCTGCGTTTATACAGTAAGCTATATCATTGATCCTATTCAGACCGGACAATGGACCGTTCCACCACCGAATCCAGCAGTATCCGTCATAATATCGAAGTAAGTGCGCATCATTGATCATTGTTCTTGCTAAAAAAAATTCTCATAACGTGAGATCTGCAGTTTAGTTTAAATATGAATTATTAAAGCACTCCTTGCTGTCATTAAAACATAGCATGCCACAGGAAAAGTGATCAAGGCCATCCACTACAAATATGTCTAAATTCATATAATTTTGGTTTAGCTTCTGGGTAATGACTTTATGTAGGCGAATTTGAGTGTTTATCTCCATTAATGAGAGTGGAATATTTAATGTAAATGTGTATATCGTAATGAAAACAGTTTAAAATCCTTGTTTACTTCATTACTTTTCTCACTCCAGGAAAAAGAGTGCATATGCACAGTCAAGAGCATCCGTAAGGTGCGCACATATTTACATCGTTTATTTTTTATAAGTCCAGATACGTGCGTGGAAAACCGCATACGCACATTATTTTGTGGGTGCGCAACGTTTATACTTGAGGCCCCTAATGCATGGATCCAATACAATGATACACATCTGATTTCTTTCTCAGCTGTTCTCGTTTACTTAAGACATAACCAACTACATTTACCAGAATGATTGTGGAGATCGATATTTTGTCATAATTTTATGTGTATATGTGTCTGTTCAAACGCAAGGAGATATGAAAGAGGATTCAGTTCGGTGTTCGTGGCACAGTCTGAAAACAGCGTGCGAGTAACGAATCGAGTTCCCTTTTGCCTTTTCCTTCACTGGAATGGTTTAAAATCGCTTGCATGTTTAAACACGTACAAATGGTAAACTTTCACTCTATTATGGTTAAATTTTGCCATTCATCCGCGGATCACATGCGTGCCGAACCGTGGGGCTTGGTCCGTATGGATTACAGATCAACTGTGATCCGTTCAACCACTAAAAACATAACGATAATCCAAAAGTAATCCACATGACTCCACTCCATCAAATTAATGTCTTGTGAAGTGAAAAGCTGCGTGTTTGTAAGAAACAAACAAAAATGTCACACTGAAAGCATTATTATGGATTATGGACACGTGTTTTAGCCAGAAGCAGCGGCTTAACGTGAAAACGCCTTCGATTTAGATTTGTTATTACAGACATGCAGCTTTTCGCTTCACAAGATGTTAATTGATGGACTGGAGTCATGTGGGATTATTGTGATGTATTTATCAGCTGTTTGGACTCTCATTCTGACGGCACCCATTCACTGCAGAGGATCCATTGGTGAGCAAGTGATATAATAATTCTCTAAATGTGTTACGATGAAGAAACCAACTCATCTACATCTTGGATGACATAAGGGTGAGTAATATGAATAATTTCATTTTTGGGTGAGCTTTTCCTTTAAATGGTCTTTTTATTTATTTTGCTTGAGTCATGTTTGACAAGCCTTCCATGATAGGTTTCCATTGTGTACCTTCTTGAATCTTCTAATCTTCTCATTTTAGAAGCCAGTATAGCCTCCATTGTGATGTACTCTGTCCATTAGTATATAATCCAACAGCAGCATTTAATGAAATCTGTCATTTTTTTGTCATTTGGCCATTTGTACAATTCAGCTGCAATTTTGCAGCAGAGTTTACTGAATAGGTCGAGGTTTCTTGTTCTGTGGGAATTGGTAGTGAACTGTCCTCCTTTCTCTGTAGAGCTAGAGCTAAGACGACGGGAGGATGAATACAGGTTTACAAGTAAGTGTATGTCAACACCCATAATCTGCATTATTGTCTGTGTCATTTAAGCCATTTATTTTTCTAAACAAATCTGTTCTGTGTTGTTTTAGTTTGCTTTGATTTTTGTTGGGTGTTGTACAAATGCCAAAAAACATCAGTCAGTTTTCTTCATTTCCTTTAACCTTTGTCACTGTTGAAGTGTTATATTAAAGGAGTCATATGATGCTTTTTTAAAGATCATTATTTTGTGTATTTGGTGTAACAGAATATGTTGACATTGACAATGTAAGTTACAATGCATGTTTTAGAAACAATGCTGTTCTGTTTTACCAGATAAGCAGAGAAGGAGAGTGCCCTAGTGACCTGATTTAGCTGCTGGTTCATGTGTCGCTTTTGTCATATGCAGCTTTCAGAAGTTCTTGTCCCAGGAAATCCCTTTAGATCCTGTGAATAGAGCAGCTGTGTACACGAAGCAATTTGACCTTACCAGTTAACAGTGCACGCATGCAGCAAAGTATAAATAATCTTAAAATAACAGATAACTACAGCACCAAAATATGTACTTTCTTCTTGCTAGTTGTGAAATAAAACTAAAAGATTAGCTTTTAATTTTATATATATTTTTATATATAATAATACTGTTTGTCATTAGTTTTTTTTTTAAATACATGTCTATTTAGCTTTATTTTTTATTTAGTATTAGTAACATTTGTATTTCAACTGTTTTTGTTAGTCATTTGCAAAAGCAACAAATTTGACCGTTAAAGTTTTTTACCAGTTATATTTTAATTGATTTTAGCTTTATTTCAATTAATGATTTGCTTAATATGTTTTGGTTTTTTTAACAAATTGACTCTTAAAGAAATGTTCGGTTCTAATGTCTAATTAATACTAATCTGATTCGACGTCGTATGTGCTGTCATTTACAACAAATAATAATTTCAGCTCATTCCTCAGTTTGATTGAAAAAAATTGGCTATTTTGCCTGTGCAAATTTATATTGAATTTATCTTAAATATTATACCTTTGTATCGTAAAGATGGTTTAACAAACATGTTGAGCTTTGAATGTTTTGATTCAAACTGTTTTTGAATGTCTTGCCTTATAGGCTGTCACAGTAAGTGCATTAACGTTAACATAATGAGTGAGAAGTTTATATCTGTGGAACATTCATTTTAAAGGTCTTATGTAAACTGGACTAATTATGTAAGACATAAAACATGTTTGTTAAGGTGAGATTTTCAAAGCACTGAATTATTATATGCATAATGAAAATTCCCTGAAAGTCAGAAGTCATTTCTGAATGCCCTAAGCTCCAAAAAGTAATCATTTTAGCTTTTTATGTTTATGTTTTGTTTTGTTTTTGCTTTTGTTATGTAATTTGTCCAGAGCTGCTGCAGATCGCAGGGATCAGTCCTCATGGAAACGCTCTGGGCGCCTCCATGCAGCAGCAGCTGAACCAGCAGGCGCCTCCAGAGAAGAGAGGAGGAGAAGTACTGGACTCCACACACGCTGACATCAAACTAGAGAAGAGCAACATAGTGCTGCTGGGCCCCACCGGCTCAGGTGAGACAGAAACACACTTTCAGTGTTGTGTACAATTTGACAGTTGTTCAAAAGCTTGGGGTCAGTAAGATCTTTTAAAAACAGTTAGTACTTTTATTCAGCAAGGATGCATTAAATTGATCAAAAGTGACAGTAAAGACATGTAGAAGGTAACCAAAGATTTCTATTCATCAAAGAATGCTGAAAAAATGTATCACCATTTCCACAAATATATTGCAGCAGGACTGTTTTTAACATTGATAATAAGAAATGTTTCTTGAGCAGCATATCAGAATGATTTCTGAAGGATCATGTGACACTGAAGACTGGAGTTATGATGCTGAAGATGCAGCTTCACAGTTCTTTTTTGTATTGTAACAATATTTCAAAATATCACTGTTTTACTATAGTTTGATCAAATAAAAACAGCTTTGGTAAGCCTAAGAGGCTTCTTTCAAAAAACATTTTTTAAAAAATCGTACCGAACCCAGACTTTTGAATGGTAATGTATATACATACTTAAAAAAAATGTTTTTTTAGGTTTTTGTATTCTGTGGCTGAAACAAGCTTCACTAAAATGCAGCTTCTAAAATATTTTTGTCAAAATAACGATTTGTGACTTCAGAAAACAGATTTGAGTCATTCCTAAAAATATGATGTATTTACTGCAAGATTTTAAAAAATAAACAATTTTGTGGTGATGACTGACATGTTTCATTGTTTTTGATAGGGTTTACTGAAGCTACTGGAAGGCACTATTGTTAATGTTCCTGAGAAGAACACGGGGAAACTGAGAGGTGAAACTGTTTATGTTTATGTTTTGTTTTGTTTTTGCTTTTGTTATGTAATTTGTCCAGAGCTGCTGCAGATCGCAGGGATCAGTCCTCATGGAAACGCTCTGGGCGCCTCCATGCAGCAGCAGCTGAACCAGCAGGCGCCTCCAGAGAAGAGAGGAGGAGAAGTACTGGACTCCACACACGCTGACATCAAACTAGAGAAGAGCAACATAGTGCTGCTGGGCCCCACCGGCTCAGGTGAGACAGAAACACACTTTCAGTGTTGTGTACAATTTGACAGTTGTTCAAAAGCTTGGGGTCAGTAAGATCTTTTAAAAACAGTTAGTACTTTTATTCAGCAAGGATGCATTAAATTGATCAAAAGTGACAGTAAAGACATGTAGAAGGTAACCAAAGATTTCTATTCATCAAAGAATGCTGAAAAAATGTATCACCATTTCCACAAATATATTGCAGCAGGACTGTTTTTAACATTGATAATAAGAAATGTTTCTTGAGCAGCATATCAGAATGATTTCTGAAGGATCATGTGACACTGAAGACTGGAGTTATGATGCTGAAGATGCAGCTTCACAGTTCTTTTTTGTATTGTAACAATATTTCAAAATATCACTGTTTTACTATAGTTTGATCAAATAAAAACAGCTTTGGTAAGCCTAAGAGGCTTCTTTCAAAAAACATTTTTTAAAAAATCGTACCGAACCCAGACTTTTGAATGGTAATGTATTGAATAAAAGCAGCCTAAAAATGATGTCTTGAGTAAAGTGTGCTAATATGAACAACTAGAAACCTAACTAATCTGAACTACAGGGAAAACACTTCTGGCCCAAACGCTGGCCAAATGCCTGGATGTTCCCTTTGCGATCTGTGACTGCACCACCCTCACTCAGGCAGGTTACGTGGGAGAGGACATAGAGTCAGTCATCGCAAAGCTACTGCAGGACGCCAACTATGTGATTGAGAAAGCTCAACAAGGTAACACTTCCTGTGACATTTAACCACAGACCACGTAGTCCAGGAGTTTGTTCAATTAAACTTTGATTTGGATGTTGAAATTGTTTCAGGTATCGTGTTTTTGGACGAAGTAGACAAGATCGGTAGCGTTCCTGGGATCCATCAGCTAAGGGATGTGGGAGGAGAGGGAGTGCAGCAGGTTGGTCATTACAAATGAACCAGATTCCATGTCCTAGGTCACACACTTCAGATATGTCACTGATATTCAGCTGAACTTTGCCCTAAATAACAAGAATGCTCACATGGCTGTTAAAGATTAATAGAAACAGTCTGTTATTCTTGGAATCTGTATTTCTGTACTTCTTTAATCACTAATAATAACTTTTGATTGACTAATTTCTGCAAAATGCTACAAAAACCTGTTTCCGCTACATTTTTTATTAAAATTTTTTTTTTTTGTCACACAATTCAGATTTTTTTTCTCACAATTGCAAATTTCCATCTCACAATTCAGACTTTATTTCCCTCAGAATTCTGAGTTCACATCTTGCAATTAATTTTTTTTGTTTCTGCCACGACATTCCTAAAAATATGATGTATTTACTGCAAGATTTTAAAAAATAAACAATTTTGTGGTGATGACTGACATGTTTCATTGTTTTTGATAGGGTTTACTGAAGCTACTGGAAGGCACTATTGTTAATGTTCCTGAGAAGAACACGAGGAAACTGAGAGGTGAAACTGTCCAAGTTGACACCACCAACATCCTGTTTGTAGCATCTGGAGCGTTTAATGGCCTTGATCGTATCATCAGCAGGAGAAAGAATGAGAAGGCGAGTAATAACAGGATGTTGACGCATAACAACAAGGTTTTATTCACACAATGCGAGATCTTCTTGGTTAATTAATTTTGGTGAAAAAACGGTCTAGGAAGATTTAGATTTTTTGGAAAATTCAAAATGGCAGGAAAAGTTTCATGACTGAAAATGATGTTTATATAATCTAACTGTTGCCTTCATATTCCATATGTAGTACCTTGGGTTTGGAACACCGTCTAATATGGGGAAAGGTCGACGGGCGGCGGCAGCGGCTGACCTGGCTAACACCACGGGTGGAGAGGTGGCTGCGGTGGCCGAGATCGAGGAGAAGGACCGGCTTCTGAAACACGTGGAGGCCAGAGACCTCATTGAGTTCGGCATGATTCCTGAGTTTGTGGGCCGTCTTCCTGTTGTGGTTCCACTGCACAGTCTTGATGAGGAGACACTGGTGCGGATCCTCACAGAGCCACGCAATGCTGTTGTGCCTCAGTATCAGACCCTCTTCAGCATGGACAAGGTTGGTGCCTAATATACAAACGGCAAAAAGAGTCCTGTGCCTGTCTATGTAGTCATAAGTATTTCCTGGGTGCAGGGTTATTATTGTTAACTAAAATAAAAACTACACTAAAACCATGAAGAAAATTATTTTCGGTACTGGAAATAAAATAGGTTAAAAAATTAATCTTATTTCAGCTAGTTGCCAAGGCATCATTTCTCATTTACTTTTAGTGTAAGAAGTACTAAAATAACTAAAGCTGAAATAAAAATTAATAAAAAAAAAATCTATATAGACACATTTTAAAAAACAAAAGCTAGTAAAAATGACAAAAACATTTGAAAAAAAAAAAAATTACTAAAACTTTCAAATTGAAATGGAAAATAAAATAAAAACTAATAATAACTGCAAAAATATATCAGTGATTCTAAATCAACACTGTCTGGGTGCATAGATGCAGTTCACCTTGTAGAAAACAAAAGGGAATCCACACACTAAGCAAGTTCAAAGTCCAAGATCTGTTGAGAAACTGAAGTGCACAAATGAAAAAAAAAAAACTAATACACAAACAGACATTTAATAAGCTAATTAAAATTAAAACCCTAAAATAACATGATATTTAATAATATTAAAAATAATAACAAATATAAATAAAATAAACCCTTTGCCATTTTTGAATGTTTTATTTCCTTTTAAATTTTTTCCCCCCCTTTTATCGCTGTTGTTATTTTTCAATGTTTAAATTAATATTACATTTATATACATTTTTATTTGATTATTAAGCAGATGGTTTATAGTGCTTTTAATTCAGTAAATATATACATATAGTACAGTGGTTCTCAAACTTTTTACACCAAGTACCACCTCAGAAAATATTTGGCTCTCCAAGTACCACCATAGTGACCAACATTAAAATACAGTAGCGTAGTAGGCCTAATTATTCAGCTACAGCTATGCACAGTTCAAAAACGAGGCAGTTTTATTCCTGATAAGAATATTTATTATTGTCGGCCACTTTAAACATTGTAAATACAGTTTGAACATTAACACTGCACTGTGCTTACATACAGGTAAATAAAAAACTTAAATGATTAAATTAAAATGTATTGTACCTAAAAGTTAAATAAAAACTGTACTGTACTTAATTGTAAAGTAAAAAATGTACAGTACTTGATCAAAAAAAATTAACACAGGCATCATTTAGCCACCTTGCAAACTTTGTAAAAGTGTTTTAACATTAATTTATATTTAATTCAGTGATTCCTCTGCGTACCACTAGAGGGAGCCCACACTTTGAGAGTCAGTGATATAAAATAATGTAATGTGGAACAAATTCAAAGTGAATCATGAAGTGTTTCTGAATGTCTTTGTTTTGTATTAGTGTGATCTCAACATGACACCTGATGCCCTGAGAGCGATTGCCAGACTGGCTCTGGAGCGTAAAACCGGAGCACGTGGGCTTAGATCCATAATGGTAAGAGAATGCTGTTTTGTTGTTTGTTTTGTGACGTTTTCACTTCCTCAAAGGCGTGCTGGTATAATGACGTGTGATCTTGTGAGGTCATAAGCTGCCACTATTTCCCAACAGGAAAAACTGCTGCTAGATCCCATGTTTGAGGTGCCACATTCAGATATTGTGGCCGTGGAAGTGAACAAGGAAGTAGTTGAAGGAAAAGCACAACCTCAGTACATAAGGTGAGAGCTGACATGACCTTGTTTGTTATTTTGTCATCTTGTGTGTCTGCAGTAAAGTTTAAAGTCTCTTTTGACACACATGGAACTATGGACTCTTTTAATGCCTTAAGTTCTAAATTTTTTTTAAGAACAAATGTGCTGAGAGTGGGAAATTTAAGGAAAAATAAAAAGTTCAAATATAAGTAAGTCTGTCATGCATTTGAAGAATTTATTTCAAAAATACCTTCATCTTTTTATTTGTTTATATATTTATTTGAACTATAATGCACATTGCAATGAAAATTTTTTATCAAAAAAAAAAAAATAAAAATAAATATATATATATATATAATATTTGTAGTAATACTTATAATTAAATAAATATTATTCGAAACAAGAAAAAAAATATTTATCTGCTCAGTATAATTTTTAAAAAATATAAATGAACAATGTTTCCTCATTCTGGGTTCAATAAAAAAATGATTAAACTGTTGTTATTATATACATACTGATAACCTAGAAAGTGTTCTCGAAGTAAACCAGCACACATTGCTGTCACTTTGAATGTACTGCCTCGTTTGATTAATGGCACTTTGTGGTCATTTTAATTAGTCTCATTGACTGTATTGCTGTTCTTTCCACTCAGAGCTGCAGCTAAAGACTCTTCTGAGGAGGAGTACGACTCTGGAATCGAAGAGGAAAACTGGACAAGACAGGCTGATGCCGCCAAGAACTAAAAACTACAAACCCGGTTTATAGTCAAGACTTTTCTTTAGTTGATTGTTTGCCTCCTTGGTTCTCCTAAGGGTCCATTTCTCACTGTATGCTTGTGATGACTTGTTACTCACTTTGGAAAATCTTATTCCTCGAAAATATCCCAAATCTACTCTCACTTAGAGAAATTGGTTTAAAGTCAAACAAATTCTCCCCTGACACTTTCCTAGTAAAGAGATTGTTAACAGTATGTGAAATGTAAAGATAATTTTATTTTATTCTTATTAACTTGATCTTGGAAGTGATTTTATGAACCGTTTGATTCGGACTCCAAACAGAAAGTGAAGAGGGCTTGTACCAATGTATGTTTGACTTCAGATTCCCTATGTCTCTCTTTGCCCTGCTTGGAATAAAATTACACATTTGTGTCACACTGGTCATGTACTGATTATATTGATATAAATAGAGTTCCTTATAAAGCTATATCGGATCACTTTCATAAAATATCCCAATATGCCCATGGTAAATCAGTTTTTGTAGCTGACACACATGTATAATAATTAGAAACCCATCTGAATATGTATTTTATTAAGGTCTGTTTAATTTAATTAGGTCT